TATATTATTAATAAACAACTATCCAAGGTCATTTTTCGAACCAATCATAAAGCAAAGGATAAATAAAATATACAATTCAACTAAATGGAAAAACATAGATAAAAGAAGAGAAGGTGATATCAAGTATATATCATTACCATATATTCCGGAAATTAACACAAAAATAAAAAATATATTCAAACCACATAATATCAACATAGTAGAAAAAACTAAAAACACCTTAGCAAATGAATGTTTCACAAAATTTAAACTTAGGATTGACAAGTTAGACACGCCTAATGTAATTTACAAAATAGACTGTTTGAATTGTGATAACAAATACATAGGTCAAACAGGACAATATCTAAAGAAAAGAATATACGAACATAAGTATAGCCTAAGAAAAAATAACGAAAATGGTACAGCATTAGCACAGCATGCACAACGGAAGTAGCATAATTTTGATTTTGATAACACAAAACGACAACCTTAGCTCAGTATATCATACATTCATTAAATGAAATAAACATAGAATATTACGGTACATAGAACACCCGGTATATTGAATAATTTTGCAAAGCAAAAATAATATCCTCAGAATACAAAGAAAAATAATGTGTGTTATGATGAGGCTGTTGACGAACTGTGGTTGTTTTTTAAATTAATGAATTTTTTTTTAAACTATCTGTTATTTTAGAAAAACTGATGATGGTGGAAAAATGCACCGAAACGTGTTTTAATTGATAAATAGAGACAATAAATGACTGAAACCCAGGAATTTATTTTGATTTGGAATTGAAACACAGTCAGGAAAGTATATACAATTTGATTTAACTGAACGGAAGGCTTTTAATAAGCAAAAACAGTTACCTTCCCATGCAAGTGCTTGTATCTTTCATCTTTAGGGTGGACAGCTATTGCAGTATCGCCTAGCATAGTCTCAATTCGCGTAGTGGCCACTACCAGCTTTTCGCTTGTACCCTCCACTTGATAGGCGAAATGAACCAGCACTCCAAACTCGATTTTCTCCTCATATCCTGGCACCGAAATAAATGTACGACCGGGAAGCTCGACTTTATCCACCTGAAATAGGGAACAGTTTTTTTAAACTTAGACCCAAATTCCCAAATAGCATTTGATATTCTATGAATATCCCAGAATGTTCAAAAAATATACAGAACATTGCGGGAATATACATAGCTGAACATTCCTAACATGAATGTTCGTGGAATATACATGCATGTATATTCATCAAAGTTCATAAAAAGTATATCCTAGTGTTGGCGCGGATAGAACATTTATGAACGTGTCAGTTCGGCGTACTATCATTATTTTTGTGCTGGTGTTTTTTGGTGTGTAACAATGGAAAAGTGAAGTTGTCAATCTAATAATAATCAATAAATAGAAATAAATAAATCAGCAATCATCCAATCAATCATCTATAAAAAGCGAAATAAAAAGGCAAGCAGTAATCCTCAGCGCACTAAAGCACAAAGGTGTGCAAAACACCTAGGTATGTACATATATGTACATATTGGGTATATGTGCAGATGAACATGCCAGGTATGTACATATTGTGTATATGTGCAGGTGAATATACATAGTATGTTGAAAACAAATATTCCGGTAATATACATGAATGTATAATATGTAATATTCCGGTAATATACATGCTACGGTATATTCCAAATTGAATGAATATAAATTTTGCGTGCCCGCAGCAGAATAGTAAGGGCATGTAAAAGTAAATCTTCTTACTACTAAAACCTGAGACCCTTATGAAATACTGAAAATATGGTGTTTTGATTAACAAATTAACAAAATTT